CTACTCCATCTCCTTCAGTAAGGATTGATGTCTCAGCCTTTCTTGTCTTTCGTGTCACTCACATTTGGAAACATGCAAGCCATTTATTTTGTGGGATGGCTCTCAATTTGGATTTGTGTGATGTTTTCTCATTATACAGGTACTCCAAGTAATGGAGTTGTGGCAGAAATACTGCAAAGGTGGTGTCATTTTTATTTCAGTGACTCACAGCAAGAGGCACATAATGTAAGATTGTCCCATAATTGGTGATATTAAGTTTGATCATTTAGTTCAGGCTGTGTTCACCAGGATTCTCAACTGAACAGTTACTCTTTTCCCCTTATAATTGGTAAATAATTTGTGTGGAGATATTTTGAAACTGTAAAAGCATCCTGTTCCTTATTAAGCTCCCACTCACATTTTATCATCCTTTGTCATTCTTGTCTGAATCAATTATTGCTGTGATGGTGGCAAACTATAAATTTTTTAAATCTAACCTTCTTCCTCCATTTCATATATGACATTCTATTTTTAATTTGCCTTCAGCCCAGTCTATCTACCTATCTATCTATTATGTCTATTATTAGTATTCACTCCGGATTCTTATTTATTTAATAAGATATAACCTACTATGATCATCATTTATTGTGTCGCTCTTGTAGAAGTTCCATTATTTTGGAGCTTTCTATTTCTTCTTTGAATGTAATGTTCCAGGATCATCTTGTACTTTCCCTGTGCCAGTCTCAAAATCTACAATTTCTCAAGAAACACTTTGAGTGAGGAATGGTGTTAGAAACCAAGATATAATTGCTAGGTATGTTTATTGTTGATGAAGTTCCATTGTTTGTAGTCCTTCTTTAGTGGATAAAGCAGAAAATATATAGATATAGATGTGCATATATAAATACATACTGTACCTATCTCTTTCTATATACCTAGATTTATATTTATTTTATAGAAACTTATGAGTTCATGCAGATAACTTCAGTTCCAAGATAATACCACAGAGGTTATTCTAATTTTTCTTATTTTCACATTTCTAACTCCCTTTTACAAAAATAAAAAAAACTGATTCTCAATATCATTGATGTATTTGCTTATTTGTTCAATCCTGCTATGCACAGAAATTAGGTTCATATATACCAACCCGCCAACTTTGAATAACAAACCTACTCAGTAGACTACAAAACTGTTTTGTAGTTCTTTTTGTCTTTAGACTGACTACATATACAGTCAAAGCACTGTATTAAAAAGGTAATAGCATTCATTTCTTTTCACTTCAGTGCCGTTACGTTTTCTTTAAAAAAAAAAAAAAAAAAGTTCGTCTCCATTTATATTACAGTTTACAGTTCTCTCATTATTGTTGATTTAAATATATATTTGATATGAAAAATACTAACACGTTTCCAAAATCCAAACAATGTAAAAATATAAACCCATCGACTTGCTACCCATATCCTGATCTCTTTCTCTCTATTCAAACATCACCCTCATAGTTATCAGATTATTCTCTGTTTTATTCTTCCTGCACTATTTTTTTGCAAAGCAATGCAAGTAGATGTATATTTTTCATTCTCCCCCCACACACTTTCTCTTTTCTCATTAAAAAAAAAAAATTAGGAGGTATCGTACAGTGACTCCTACACTTTGCTCTTTTTGGCTTAACTGTATAAGAATTTACTCCATGTTAGTTTACACTGCTCTGTTTTATTGCAGCTTAAGGCTGCATATTGTTTCAGTGTGGGCATGTGCCATCATTTCTTTCCTCAATTTTAATCGTTTTTTTAAATTGACTAGGGATATTAGGACTTTATGTGAGATATATGCTGCAAATATATTTCTTCTGTTTTTTAATTTGTATTGTGCATCTGCTTCTTGTGATTTTTGCCATGCAAATGTTTTTTTTTTTTCATGTCAAATTCATTTACATTTCTTTTGTTGCATCATCAGGATTTTGAGTCAGATTTAGAGTTTTTCCCTACACGCAGATTATAGAGAAATTCAATTTTTTTTTTTAGATCCAGCATAGTATTATCATTGTGTTTAGATCGCTGATGCATTTGGAATTCATTTTTTGATATAGTGTGAAGTATGGATTAAATATTACCTTTTTCCTAAATGATTATCCCGTTGTTCCAATAGTATTTGTTCCAAGCACTATGCCAGATTTCATAACAACAAGATAGATAGAAACCTGCCCCAGGACTTTAGGACCTTATAGTTTCTAAATTGAGAAAGACAAATATTTTTAAAAATACACAATTTAACTTCAATATAACAAGAAGAAAACTTCAAAAGAGGATGCAGTGATTTCTGCTCTGTTATGGGCATCACAGTCAGGAACAGGCACACTAATGTGAACACAGCAACACTGAGTATTGAAGAATGACCAGAAGGCTTTTGTTCCAGCTAGAGTGGGATGATAAATCTGAGAGAGGGAAAAGCATGGACAATGCACAGAGGAAAAAGAGCAAAGTGTGCCTTGAGGGGAGGGGAGGTAGAGTACACATTTGGAAAGATGTGCCCAGATGGTAGCCAGGGACAAACCTCAGAGCCCCTAGATTCCATGCAATGGGAACCAACCCAGATTCCAAACAGTGAGGATAAGGTCAGTTTTCTTTTTTTTTTCTTTTTTTATTTGACCATTAAGGGGATCATAACCCTTGGCTTGGTGTCGTCCACACCACGCTCAGCCAGTGAGTGCACCGGCCATCCCTATATAGGATCCAAACCCACAGCCTCAACACTACCAGTGCCGCACTCTCCTGAGTGAGCCACAGGGCTGGCCTCAGTTTTCTATGTCATCAAGGCCATGCTGGCAGCCCTGTGGAGGATGTGTGGAGGAAACAGGGTGGAGGTGTCATTCTAGTTCACTGGCTAATATTGGTCAGATTTCTGAGATGGAGGTGGGACCTGGGGAAATACCTGACACAGAGTTGGCCTCAATGAATTATCAAGTGTCAAGGGGAGACAATATGGTGGGGTGGAAGGAAGGGAGTTACTAGACAGGGAGCTTCATTCCTAGGACCCTGTGTTGGCCATGAGCAGAATGAAATTGAGGCTGTCGATTCAAAGAAAACACAGAAAAGCCTTCATGGCTGTTCTTCAAGAAAGTATTGACATTGGCCAATTCAAGTGGTTTCATGAGACTTGCTAAAAGAAGAACTTATATCATACACACACAGACACACACACACGCCCTCAAATGCACTTCTGCATGTGACATGCTCCTGGCTCTGAGTGACATCCTTGCAGCATGAGAACTCACAGAATGGGTAGATACCAGGCACCCAGCTCTATAGACTTCCAAGTAAATCTTTTACTGGAATTGGCAAGGGGGTGGATGTTGCTTTGCCTCCCATGGATTTGTCACCCCTTTTCCCCTGGGTGATGGAGCCACCAAAGATTACTCAAAGCCCATCTCTTCTGAGCAGTGAGAGGCCCTGAAAAGGGGTAAATCTCCCGGAACCCTCAAGACAGAGGCATTCCTTCTATTTGGGAAATTAACATTGAATTGGTGTTCTCTTCCCACATTTATTCTCCAGATCAGGAAGTTACAGGAAGAGAACATAGGTGGGGGTTTTGCTAAGTACAGTTTAATAATAGAAGCTTGGTAAAATTCAGTAAGGTTCCATTCCATAGTGCAATTAAGTCAATCCACTAACAAAAGCTTGATTTTAGCAAACATTCTCTTCTTACAGCAATTTCCTAGTATCTTTACATATCAATCAGTAACCTGTCTGTCTTTGAGCCAGCAACCTTGCTGTGTTACAATTTTTTATCTTACAACAGAGACTATATAGCCTGGGGAAAATTTCCTGTCCTTTGCAAGTCAATATTTGAAACTGCAAGGCTTTGGAAAACCAGGCCCTGTGAAGTACATTTGTTTTAAGCATACTTCACAGGTGGATCTGTCCCTGTTTCTGCAGGGAGTATTTGTAGCAGTTGCGTTCTCTTTTGATTTGGATCGTTTGGAAATCTGTTTCACAATCCTAGAATTAAGCAATCAAAAACTAAGTGGTTCTTCCAGGGCCACTCTGTATGTCTAATGGTTTCTTCTCTATGTTTTAAATCCATCAGAGACCATGCATTTGAAACTCTTATTACACTGGAATTTAATTTCATTTAAAAATGTTAAAGCAAATTCAAGGGCACAATCATTTGAAGGTAAAATATGTCATGAACAACACCTACGAAAGAGGCAGTTTGGTGTAGAAGTAAGGAAAATCAAAAACACAGAAAAAATATCGACTGTTGATGACATGATGGAGCAAGGACACCAGCTGCCTTAGTCCATTTTGTGTTGCTATAACAGAAATATGTGAAACTGGGTAATTTATAAAGAACAGAGGTTTATTTGGCTTGCAATTCTGGGATAGCTGCATCTGGTGCAGGCCTCAGGCTGCTCCTACTCATAGCAGAAAGTGGCAGGCAGCTGGTGGGTACAAGCAGATCACATGGTGAGACGAAGCAAGAGAGAGACAGGGGAGGTGCCAGGGTCTTTTAAACAACCAGCTTTCACAGTAACTAATAGAGGAGAACTCACTCATCACCACCCCCCCACCACCTAGGGAGAGCACTAGTCCATTCACGAGGGATCCACCTCCTGTCTCAAACCACCACACTGGAGATCAAATTTCCATATGAGTTCTGGGAAGACAATACATCCAAACTCCATCACCAGCCTAGATGGCCTACTTTCAGCCTTCATCAATAAATATGAAACAAACAAAACCCTGGGAGTATTTACACCTTGCTTTTTCTTGTCTTTGTGACTAGGTGCTGAGTGTAATCTCTAAAGGTTACCACATATAAGGATATTCTCTGCCATGTAGGTGATGGCAGATAGCATTTTTCTAAAATCAAGATGTCTTGGGAGCTATGTTAGCCACTCGTACCTGAGGCCACAAAGCCTGACATACAGGTTCCACTTCTCTACCTGAGATTCCCTATACCCCATTTAGAAGATGGGAATGTTGAGAAGCAGACAGCAAAATGTGTGAAATAAAAGTGGTGTCAGCTGTGACCAACTGCAGGCTCTATGTCTGACCCACAAAGGAAGTGCTCTCCAGACAAGGGGATTCAGACAGTGGCCAAAACGTCTTGTCAGAGGCTGCCCCTGCCTAACTGCAGGGGAGCAGACTAGGCTTCTTGAGCGTTGAGGACAGGTTACAAGAGAGATAAGAGGTAGTGTAAAAGGGGGAAATTTTACAGATGTGTCAAATATTTTCTGTGTTTTTTATGAAGTGATAGGAGAAATGGGGGCAGAGACTGAGAAGTCATTGGGAAAGGGAGGATGAAATTGTCAGAGCACTTTGTCTAGTGAAAGGAAGGGAGGAGAAGGCAGGGCTGATTGGTGAAGGTTTGTACTTGAGTGGGGGTGGGTGTCCAAGTCACCAGGGGCAAGTGTGAGGGTGGTGCATAAGGACTTCTGCACAGAGGCAGGTAATAGAAAGGAGCAAGTCGTAGGACCATCAACAGGAGGAGGTGAGGGGAGAACACCACAGATGGCCTGTGCTGGGGTAGGGGGAGGCTGCAAAGAACCAGGGGCTCCCCAACACCCCCACTGCACTTGGCATCATGTCTTCTTCAGCTTCCTGGACCCACACACCCACTTTGCCACCATGCCCAGCAGCTTCCCACATAGCCACACTGTGACCAGAGTGAAGGCCAGCAGGAACGAGAGGACGTCAAGCAGGTAACGCTCATGCCATGGTTGCTGGAAGGAATAAGGCTTGAGGTGGGCTGCCCCCCGAGTCTGGAGGATATGGTTAATCCAGCCCACGAGCCGCTCGGCGGGGGTCAGGGGGTGGGAGCACATGATGATGCTGGCGTCCACTGCTGCAGACTTGTACCTGTTGGCAGAGACAGACAGGGGCATAACTGATGTGCTCTTACCAGGCTTAGGACGTGAGATCCTTTTCCATCTGATGCACAACAGACTGAGTTTCAAGGAAAGTTTGCCAACCTGGCCCTGCAATAGTCCAACAGGGTCCCCTTGAAAAGTTCAATAATGATAACTACATGCAAAGATCCATGCTTAATGCTAGAAGTGCTAAACTGTAAAAGAGTGACTAAGTCTATAAGAAATACTCCCTACCCTGAGGAGGCTTATGACATACCACAGGAAATTATATGTAATATAATTATTACATATATACATGGAGCATCTACCTTAGGCTAGTCTCTAGACAAGGTGACAAATGTCACTCTGGGGACTGTCAGGCCCAGGACAAGGCCTGCACCATTATTGACCAGGCCTTACTCTGGGCTGCCATCTGCTTCTTTGCACTGCATCATTAGTAGCATCCTAAGCTTCAAAGTCTTAAACTTTATAATAATAAGCACCACATTTTCAATTTACGAATTATGTAGCTGGCCCTGGTGAAGCACGATGTCTGGGGATCAGCCCAGTGCAAAATGACACCTTCACCAGAGCCAGCAGATTATGGCCATTTGGGGTCTAGGTCTTTGAAAATCCAATGAAAGCATCAAACCCCTTCTTTGAAAAATGAACATCCACAACACATGCAATGGGATATACATACGACTGTGCTGAGTTGTATGTATATGCAAACCCTGGAGCTTAACTTTTCTGGAACTAAGAACGTCAGGTTACATGGCTGTGTTTCAGTCATCGCACGAGAACCGCATGGGTGTGTCCTGTGAGCAAGGTAATGTGTAAAGTCTAGAGGTCGGATCCAGGCTTGTGCCCTCGGAACACAAATAAGTCATCCAGTCTTCAAGGTTGTTAAGAAAGAAAATATGATTTTCTCTTCACATGGGAATCATTACTCTGGATGAGCAGTTAGTTACCTAGTCACTGGGCCCCGTTCTTTGCCTCACTTAACCCACACTCATTAACCACCTGCCCCATGCCAGGCCCCAGCGAGGCACTGGGAACATAGTGGAAAGCAAGAAATGTTCTGCTGTCCTCCTGGAGCTCACTCTCTACTCTTTAGTGCAGGGGGACAGATAATAAGTGCCAACATACACAGATGGGTAATTTCAGACCCTACGAAGTGCTGGGAAGGAAATGATGATTGGAGTGGGTGGGAGAGGAGGCTACTTAGGTCTGTCAATGAGGAACTCTCTGAGAAGAAATGATCTGTGACAGGGACCCAAATGTCATGAAGGAGCCACCCCAAGATGAGGAGGGAAGGAGAGTTAGGGAGCAGCACAGACAAAGGTCCAGGGAGAGAAAGGACGCTGGAGACAGAAAGGCCACCCTGTGGCTCAGCTGGAATTCTACTATAAGAACCGCAAACAGAAGAGCTCTCAGAAAAGCCCTTGTACGTAACTCAGGTTCCTCAAAACATGAAAGGGAGAAAACTATTCTCGGCATCTATCCTATACTGTTCTATTCTTGCTCTCAGAGGAGGCAGGTCAGCTTCTGGCATCACAGACATTATTTCTTGTCCTGGAAAATGCAGTTTTTATTGAAGAACAGACCCACTCAGTGCCCTTAGTGTTTCTGCCTTCACTCAGCCTAAGTGACCATGGGCCCAGAGAGCTGTGTACCTCTTGTCTTCTATGACTTGTTTCATCTTAAGAGCCAAAGTCTCTGCCGTGAGGTCCTTTAACTGAATAGAGACACCGAATTCTTTGGCTTCTACTCGAACCATGTTCATAGGCTGGTCTCCAAAGAGAGGGATCCCCACCATGGGCACACCATGATGGATGGCCTCCATTATGCTATTCTGCCCACCATGGGTGACAAAAAGATGGATGCTGGGGTGAGCTGTTGCAAATAAGAAAGAGGGAGGCCATATCAAAATGAAAGCTTTCGGAACATTAGGCAGAATATTACAGACATAAGAAAATACCCAGGGGATCTAGAAGTATATAGGAGCCATTGTAAATAATGAGGTTGCTTGAGGCAAATCCAACAGTGCATGTTTCAAGACACAGTATTCCAAGCTTTGCCTTTGTCTAGAGACTTTATCCCCCAGCCAGAAACCAGGAAATTCTGTAGAAAAGAATACTAAGCTAGGCATATGCCTCTATCCATCCATCCATCCATCCTTCCATTAATCCATTCATTCAGCCAGCCATACTTCTCTCTGTCCTATGTCTCTCTTTGCTCCTTGCTTCTCTGGTCTCTCCCTGTGTGTCTCTCTTTCTGTCTCTTCTTCCTCTGACTATCTACCCTGAGCTCTCTTTTATCCACTGCCAACTAATTTCCCTCTTCTTTTAGTTCCTGACACATTCATTGACATCACAATTCATGTGTCACTCATAAAAACTTGCCCTGATTTTATTGTATTCTCAATTATATAAGAAGTCCCTTGAAAGCAGAGACTGGACCCTACACCTCAATATTTCCAGTTTCTGTCTTTGCATCCCAGTATTATTTAGAGCTGACTAAAATGATTATTGGTAATGGGGAGTACTTCTCAACCTGTGTCACTCAACTGCAAGGTGCATCCAAATCTCCTTGTGTCCTTTTGGAAATGAGGAGTCATGTGCCTGACCCCAGAATTAAAGAAATACATTTGCAGAAATAGGACAGGAATCAGTTTATCAAACTCTCCAGGTCGTTTTGAGCCATAATCTTGCTTAGGAGCCTCTGCTCTGGTCAGTGTTGGTGGCAATAAAGTGTCTCTAAGATGCAGCATTGGGTGCAGAGGAAACTGTTGAGATTAGGAAGCTCTCTGGTACCAAATAATTCAATGGACCAAATAACCAGCTGTGAGGTCACTAAACTTGGCACACATATATTGGCACACATGCTACAGCTATCATTGTATATTGATAGAAGGTATATGGCACCAATGTTTTAAAGGTATGAGTTACTGAGACACTTAGTAGCTTAGAAGGATATGACTATATGTATATGTGGGTGTGTGTCTATGTAAGGGCACATTGCTAAACTCGTGTTCATCAAGTCACTAAAGAAGTGACAATATCCCTTTGCCACCCTAACATACGTTCTCAGAAATCTAATCTTGACTTGGATTTTGTATAGCTGGCCTTGTTCAAGACCAAATACAATAGGGATAAGAGGACTTACAGGCATATCATCACTTCTGGCTGCAGATATTAGGCCTGGATGGGACACAAAACATGACTGCCTTGGTATTTGACCCCACTGGAAGTGAACCCTGATTCCCCAGGAACTCCAGCTGGCTGCTCCTTCCTGACCTCTGGAGCCCTTCCTTTACCCACCAGCAGCTCTTTCTTACATTAGTACAAATGCCCAGCTAGAGGTCACAGATTTGGTGAGCCTTGAAGCCAGGTAGATGGAAAGAGAAGAGCAGACCTGAACACCCCTTACCCAGGAGGTCATTCTGAGGAAGCCATTCCACAAGTTTCACATTTCCAGCCAATTTGACATCTTTGGGCCAAAGAGAACTCTTGTACTTCCATATCACACCTTGAAGGAGGCGGGCAAAGGCACTGTTCATCTCCCTGAGAACTTCCTCTATCTGATGGATGCTCACCATAGAGCCCAGGGAAACAAGGACAAAACCAGAGTCCCCGAACTTGGTGATGAAATTCTCCAAGTCCTGGAGAGAGATAACAAAGGTAAGGAAGCAACAAAGTTGTTTGTGAAAACCTAGGTGGACATGAAATGAATGTCAGGTTATTTATGAACACACCCTCCAATCAGTGCCTTGTCTCACTGTCCTGAAACTACTGTCACAGCCCCTGGTACAGCTCAGCACCCTCTGCACTGTGCTCATGTCCACTGTGTTGGTGGGAACCTCTTTCTTTTTTGAGACCCTGACCCCAGTATCAGGGTCATCCCTGAGCCTCCACCCATTTAGGTCTGTTTATTTATGGTCACCTGGGAGTTTTCCAAGGCCATACCAATGGTTGGGTTTGAAAGAGTCCATCATTGAAATGGTTGTGTTTGAAAGAGTCAGGGTCCATTGCGGGAGTAGGATTTCTGTAGCCTGGAATGCAGACGCTCAGAGAACAACTCCGTTGTAAGAAGAAATAAATGTAGAACAGGGTAAGGCTCTTCATCACCCACACACAATGTGCCATGTAGCATGTTTTGCTCCAACATCCCATGAGATTCTCAGTCCATGATTTCTGTACTTTGTCCCCTACCTCAGTGGTTCACCCACATGACTGCAAATTAAGCCTCATGGGAAGATTACTAACAAGCAGCAATGCCCAGTCCCAGCAGCAGATCTAGGCACCTTATATCTTGAATTCCCCCAGGCAGTTCCCCAGGAAGGTTGAGATCTATAGTCTTAACCTTGGCTTTAACAGAGTTTTCTCAATTCTTAATTTCCAGCATTTTTTCAGGCCCTGATTCTCTCTGCACTTTTGTGGTTTCCCGCTCCCATTCCCTCATCCTATTAGATGCTCAGCCCCAACTGGATTCCATCCAATGTACCACTGACCAATGGCCCATTCACAGGACCAATGTCAAACAGCACTGTCATCTTTTTATACTACTATAACAACGTAGAACCATTATGTAAAAGTTGGAAAATGCAGAGAACAAATAAATTTTTAAAAGAAGTACCTGTTATCTCATAGCCATTACAACCCATACTGTCACTATATCTTGGTAATAGTTTCCTCCCTTTAGTCTATGACCAAGGCATGGCCCACTATCCTACCAGGTAAGGCCTCAGGTATCCTCAACCGGCTTTATTCGTGCACGTGAATCTCCCACTATTCTTGTCTAGCCAGAGTCTCTCAGGAACCCAACCTCATGGACATCTCACTCCTCCTTCACACAAAGGCCCCTTTCTATCCCCACATGGGTACCTTCCCTCCCAACTCCATTCCCAAAAATGCTGCCACCAACGCAAAGCCCATCTCACCCATGGACCATTCCCCAACTCTTCCTGCTCACTCAGTGAAAGGTCAGTAGAGGAAGGGCATACACTTCAGTGCCTAAAAGACATAGGATGAAACTTGGCTCTCCCTGCCTCTGAGCAGAATAGCAGGAGGAGAGTCACCTACACCACATGAGCCTCCATCCCCTTCCTTTCTAAAAGTGGAGATGGCCACACTGCTCTACAGGTGGCAGGATATTAGATGTGATAACTTGTGTAAAAGGGCAACACAGTGCTGATAGGCAACAGGCAGCCCACTAATCTTAGCTCTCCTCCCTTTTAGGAACTTCTGCAGCAGTGCTTCTGAGGCCAGGATCTGCATTCCAATCGCCTCAGCAGTGTTTACAAATTACACCATCTGGGGATCACCCCAGACATGTCAAATCAAAAGGTCTAGCTGGAGCCAGGAGCCGGGGATCTCCAGGCAGGGGACACCACAGACAAGGCCTGAAGTTCTTGCTGTCAGTCCCAAACTGTCCTGCCCAGCTACTCCACCTCTCACAGTGTTGTCTGGTTCACTGTGAGTAACTCATCTCAGTAACAACAAATGCACATGAGCACTTGCTACGTGTTCATACAATCACACGTAGTACAAATGAAAATATCAACTTTAACTGAAGTGCTTATCCCATCGAAGTCAGGACTAGGGTGAGGCAAGAGAGGAGCCCAGGGTGTACTATTTAAGGAGGCCCTCGGTCTCAGGGTTATGCGAGGCCTAGTACTGTATTCGCACAACACTGAAGGTGAGCACTTCCTTAAAAAGCATGCCCTAGATGCCTCCCTTGCCCCACTTTAGTTTCAGAATCCCACTGACAGGTGGCAGGCACCAACTATGCACTGAAGACCTCTGTATGAAGCCCAAATTGAGTACTAAGGGTTTACTTACCTGTGGTACTGGTTTAGTAGGTTTGGACATTAAGCCTCCAACATAAACAGTGTTGGGAAGCAGAGGCCGGGCAAAATCAAAGGCAAAGTCTGAGTTAACAAACCATAGCTCTGCTTTCTGTAGAAGATGAGACAAAACTGGCCTAGAACCTTCTGGGAAATGGTCCTTGATGGTGTTGTCAAACATAGACTGTGTTTGCCATTCCTTTATGGAGAAATCAAAGACCATCAGCAAATTCTTCATTCGGCCCCAGAAGCCCATGTGGTCAGTTAATAAGGAACGGTACACTGGAACATAAGACAGGGGGCTCGGTAGCCCGAAGTCCACAGTGCCAAATGAGGAGGAAAGAATGGACACAAACGGTTTCCCAAGCTGCTCAGCAATCAGGAAAGGACAATAGTCCAAAAATTCAACTATCACCATGTCGAAGTCCTCATTCTTTAAGGAATCCATGATATCCCTTCTCCCTAGTAAATGACTGCACTGAAACCCCAGTTGTTCTAAAAATTTTAAGTAGTTTTCAAATAATCCTCTGCAAAAAGAAAATAAATGATAAATACCCATGAGAGGTGTTCAAAATACATTTTAAAAATCTTGAGATGCAAAGAAATATCTCAGATGAGCAAGAGCACGTCTACCAGGAGCCACTTACTCAACCAGTTTCCCACAACCACCATCTGTCATGGCCACACTGGGCACATAGAACTCTGAGATCTGCTACAGTCAGAGAAGGTTCCCAGGGCAGAAGGACCTTGAATTGGCATTGATGGGGGTTGGGATTTGAAACAGGTCAGGAGAAGTGAGGGGAGAAGGGAGCACTCCATGGAGTGGTAAATGAGTGTCTTAGATCAGACCTACAGAGGAGGGAATGTGGTCTCCCAGCTTCAGTGAGAAAGAAGGCTTTACGGAAAAAGTCAGATTTGAGCACTACCTTGACTACTAAAATTTTCAAGGAAATGAGAGGGGGTATAGCTACCATAATTAGCCAAGATAGGAAGGATTTCTGTCTGTTGTCTTTTATGTCAAAGATGAAAGAGTTATGTGTTCCTTTCCATTCCAGATGGAACAAAGGAAGCTGGCTTCATGATTCATTTTGCACTAGGTTGAACGCTTTTTAAAAGGACTTTACAAGGCTAGACATTCAAGTTCCCCAAAATCAATGTTCATAAATCTTCCCTGCATTTATAAATATATATGAGGAGAAGGGAGGAATATAAGTAGGAAAAGGTGGCTCTGATTTCTTTATCAACAATGAGAACTTGAGGCGCCTATCCCTGTTTCTGTGTTGAGGAGATTATAGACATAGATTGTAGGTGAAGTGTTGCAGGAAATCCCAGAAGAACAACCCCCCTCCCCTTTCTACAGAAATGCGTTCATGCTTATAGCACAGTGTAGAGCAAGGAAGAGTTTCCAGGGTCTGCACTGAATGACTGGATGTGCAGGGCTCATCCGCTCCATCCACCCACTATTTGTCCCTCCATCTATACATTCAACCATCATCCATCCCTTTCTTTTATTTTCACTCCACATATCCACGCATCCATCCCTTCATTTGTATGATTAAAATAGTGGCTCTTTGTTTCAAAGAATGACAATAAATTACCTGCCACGTAACGTTTCTCCCATTAAGAAATTAATAGATTTCTTAAATTCTTTATTATCACCTTCAGGTAGAAGCCAACTGATAACATGATATGATTTTTTTTCCTCTTCAAAATCTAAGAAAACATGAATGGGTTAAAAAAAAAGTTAAATATGACACTGAATATGGTAACATTAGAAGACCAATATCAAAATTTGTTTATTCCAATGATTGTCGTTTATTTGAATGTTTGCTTTTTGTTGGATTTTTATCTTGTTGTGTTGCTTTCTCATTCATTCAGTTTAATAAGCTGATAACATTTATTGAGATATTACAATGATTCAGGAATTGTTTTTCAATTTAGTTATGGGAGTGTCCATTTAAAGCTTTCATTTAAATGTATAGCTATTTGTCTCATTTCGCAAGTAAGGAAACAAACGCTAATTTAGTTTAAGATAATCTGTGAAAATTGCACACACAGACAATGGTAGCGTGTGTATTTAACTACAGATTCCAGAGCCTCTGCTCTTCACCTTTTAGAAAATCTCCATTTTTATTACTTAAAGTCATACATGCAAATAATTTTTTCTTCAGTTACAAAATACTACAGGGCTTAATTAAAAGAATACTCCCCTATATCCTTACATACCGTCTTGGCTCCTTACTCAATCCTGTGTAATAAAAAGTCTGACATTGTTTTTGATGTTTGACTCTTGACAGGTTTCCAGATCTCCCCTTCCCTGTTCTGTGCTTCATCTGAACAAACTGGTAAGAAAACCCACACATGCTCCTTCCCTTAACCTTGGTAGGAGTTTAAAAACCCTACAAGTCAGGCATATAGAGGAGAGTCCTCACCCTATACCCCACCTTCTCACAACAAAAACTCAAGCCAGTCATCCCTCCCTGCTCTCTAAAACCATTTTTCAGATTTGCCTGGGAGCCAGTCCTACTCTTCCAAAAAAGTCCTCATTATATGAATAATAAACCTTCCATGCTTTCTTAATCCATGAGTGCCTTTATCACTCATGTCATCCAAACTAAATTTTGTGTAAGTGTTGAAATAGATTAAGGCATGGCCCCATACATTGAGGCACCCATATCCAATCTTATCAAAATTATAGACTGGGGCCGACCCCGTGGCTCACTCGAGAGAGTGCGGCGCTGGGAGCACCATGGCGCTGGGAGCACTGAGGCCACAGGTTCGGATCCTATATAGGGATGGCCGGTGTGCTCACTGGCTGAGCGCGGTGCGGGCGACACCAAGCCAAGGGTTACGATCCCCTTACCAGTCACAACAACAACAACAAAACTATATTCCAAGTATCTCCTGGCAAATACTCTGCCATTGTAGATTTGGCTAGTATGTTCTGATCAGTGTCTATTTCTAGTTTTCCTTCCCCTTGGAAGAACACAGTACTCCTTCAACTGGCTACTTATGAGGTGTTTCACAGCTCTACTATTACCCACAATCTTCACAAGCAAGATCTTTACTGTATCCAGACAGGTAGGGCATTACATTGAGGATGTCCTCCTCTGAGGAGATTCATTTGACACACTTATTCAAGATATAAAAACATTCACAAAGAAGTTCATAAAAGCGATAAGACATTGTCCCACAGAAAGTACAAGGTTCAGTATCTCAATTAAATCCCAAGGAATTATTTGGTTAGTTGAAGGCCTCCCCATCTCTGACACTATCAAGAAACAGCTATTAAGAAAGGCAGGGGAAGGGCCGGCCCGGTGGCGCACTGCTACAGTGCGCCGCTTGGGAAGCGCAGCGGCGCTCCCGCCCGAGGGTTCGGATCCCACATACAGACCGGTTCCCGCTCACTGGCTGAGCGAGGCGCGGGAGCAACACCGAGGGTTGCAATCCGCGGGAGCAGCACCGAGGGTTGCAATCCGCGGGAGCAGCACCGAGGGTTGCAATCCGCGGGAGCAGCACCGAGGGTTGCAATCCGCGGGAGCAGCACCGAGGGTTGCAATCCGCGGGAGCAGCACCGAGGGTTGCAATCCGCGGGAGCAGCACCGAGGGTTGCAATCCGCGGGAGCAGCACCGAGGGTTGCAATCCGCGGGAGCAGCACCGAGGGTTGCAATCCGCGGGAGCAGCACCGAGGGTTGCAATCCGCGGGAGCAGCACCGAGGGTTGCAATCCGCGGGAGCAGCACCGAGGGTTGCAATCCGCGGGAGCAGCACCGAGGGTTGCAATCCGCGGGAGCAGCACCGAGGGTTGCAATCCGCGGGAGCAGCACCGAGGGTTGCAATCCCGTTGCCGGTCCCCAGTCCGGTACGGGGGCAACACTGAAGGTTGCGATCTGTTGCCGGACACGGAAAAAAAAAAAAAAAAAAAGAAAGGCAGGGGAAGATGGCAGACTAGAGGCACATGGGGCACGTTCCACCCACAGAAAAACACTAGAACAACTAACAGACAGCTATATATTGACAGCAGCATCTAGAGGAGAGTTTAGGAGTGCAGTAGGGGACCAGTGATATCCTGTGGAGCACAAAAGCCCAGGATGGCAGCAAAAAGAGGAGAGTAAGGCACACACGGCCTCAGCCACCATGTCTTCACCACCAGGATTGGCACAGGAGGAATTTTCCCTTACAGGAAAAAGATAGGCAGAGGCTCACACCAAGCTTCATCCTTACCACAGAGACCTTACAGGTACCATTCCAGAAGGATTCCACAGCCCTTCCAATCCCAGACCCAAGTTTGGGGAGCTGCCTAGGATACATACACTGCATCACTCTAGAAGAGGAACACATATCATGCACTCCCCATCCCCCACCCTCCAGACCTAAGCCAATGCAGTGTGCCACCATCTTGAAACCTGAGCCACTGCCTGAGCTTTCACTGCCCAAGGGCCAGTAGCCAAAGCACTTCCCCAGCCTTAAGGCTCTGCAGTCATTCCAAGGCATTCACATGAGAGGCTAGAATACCCAGATCCCAGCACTTTGAAGCCTGGGCTCACAGCTGCTGTGACTCTAGTCCTATAGCACGGGAAGCTAACCCCAGGACTGGTGAACAGATGCACACTCATGTCCCTGGCCAGAGATCAGAAAGGCAGACTATCCCCCTTCATTCCCCCAACCACACCCCCACCACATGGCTGAGTTCTGTGTTTGAGCTCCCAATCCAGAAAAACAGCTCATGAGTGTTTACCCTAATGAATATGCCTTCAGCTGGCAGAAATAAAGAGCATCCAAGCTCTCGGAGAAAAGCAGTCAAGAAGCTCTGTCCTCAACAGTCTCATCTAGAGGCCTCACCCACCAAGAAGCATCTGGTTGGGTTCCCTCACTAGAGGCCTGCCTAGTAGCCTCACCCACAGCCTGAGAAGCAGCTGACCAGATCTCCTCTCAACAGGCCCACTTCCTGACCTTACCCACTGTCCAAGAAGTGGCTGTCCAGGCCCCCTCACAGTAGGTCTGCCTACTGCCCAAGAAGTGGCTCACCAGCCCTGCCCTTGGAAGACTTGCTCCTGAACTCCTGAGAGAAGTACAACATCACACCTGGCCCAAAGAAGTGTTGCAGCAGACAGGTGACCAGCAGACTCACACCCAGCTAGCAAAGCCAAAATGTGCCCAAGGACCCAGCTCAGAGAAACAGCTCAGCTGTCATGCCTCTGGAAAACCCACCCCAGAGCTTTTGAACCATCACATGCACATGCTTCTTACTGAGAAACAGCCTGGCTGATGTGCCCCTTGTGGGCCCACCCCTTGTCATAGAAGTGGCACAGTGGCCTTGCCACTGGCAAACCAGTCCCAGAGACCCTGACGCTCCATATGCCCATACTCCCAGCCTAAGAATCAATCCAGCAACACATCTCTACTGAGCCAGTGCCGGAGATCAGCTCCAGTCGAGTTGGGGGTCTTTGAAAGAGGGATGGAAAGGCGGCGAAAATAAAAAACACAGGTAGAGACCTCGGTTCCTTTGAAGCATGTTCTCACCCTGTGGGCTGTCAGCGCTGTTGCAGCCAAAGCAGCTAAAGCAGCTGAAGCAGCCTTTAGACTGAAAACAGCATTTTTATTTGTCACACAACACGGGGTGTTAATGTGGGCATTTTAACTACATAAACCTTTAAAATTAGTAAACCAATAGTTAAACGGAAACTTTTCTTAAAATTACGTCAGTTCTCATAAAATTAATAATCCACAAGGTTAAATAAAATTTGGTGGTCAACCAATTCTTTCTGGTGATTATATCTGTTGTGGTTGATTAGTCCATGACTCGCTGTTCTTGACGTTTTTTACCATTGTGTTGCTCTTCTTCTTGTCCTTGTATTAACCTTAAACTTATTACTACCAGCAAGCATAAATTATATGTCTGACTCAAAACTGAGAAGGCAGCGATTGCGGTTTCAAAGTGTTAAACAAACCTTATATATATTTTTAACTTTGATTTAATGATTCTCATATTTCTATAGGCATGAACCTATTGTTCATTTGGAAAAGGAATAAAGGATATTTGAAGAGCTTTATCATGCGTGTACTTAATATAGCAGCTGTGTGGCCCAGTGTAAAGTGTCAAAGTGCACAGCACCATCCCTCACAAAACCAGGTGCATTCTAAATTCCATCTATAATCTTTATTTTTAGGAAGGAAAGTTGTGCATCATATGTTTTTGTCCCAATATCTTACTAAGATGTTTTTATTTAACTTAGGACACCAATGAGTAACAGGGTTTCTACACATTCTTTCTCATAAACTTAATTTTTTTTATAATATCTTTTTTCATTAATTCCAAACATTCTCTTACCATTAATGTAATCCCCTGTAAATGACATTTGCCAACTTAAGTCATATTTAGGACGTCCCCTAGGTAAAACATCCATTGGTGTAATAAATTGACTCAAAAGGGACAATTTGGAATTGTTCAATCTTCCTGGATCTTTTGTGGGATAATCTAATTTTATGACAACAACTGTTCGTGTGTCATTTTTTGCATCGTTTGGAAACTCAGGAAACTGCCATGCTGACCAAAACATCAAAAGAGAAAGCGAAAGCCACACCACTATGCCAAGGCAGAGATCTTTACAGTGAAAGCAAGTGTTGGTAGCTGTGGCCCTGCCAGCAGCTCTCCCTCTGGGCCTTGCCAGCTCGGAAAGGGCAGCCCAAGCTATTCTTTTCAAGACCCTGCC